TTACTATGCATCATCAACAGTGATGAAAGCACTTTACTCTGTGTCCTTGGGTTATACTGGTGAGATATTAGGGGAAAGACATTCTCGTTAACAAATTATTTTTTTTAAGGACACATAGATTTCAGTCATACAGTAATGTCAACTCAGAGCAGGAATGATGATGGAGTAATTGTTGCAGGGAACAAGCTCAGAGATCTAAATTATCCAGAGAGCCCCTATCCCTGGGATGTCACACTCTTAGCCTGCTGATTAACTACTCTGGCCTCTATGTCAGATTATGGTTCTACAGGAGCTCTAACTTTGATTTAGGAGCTGGTAGGCTTCTAGTTATGTGAATGTAAATAAAATTTCTGAAAATATTTTGAAGCAGATCTAGCTTTTCATGCCCACCAATAGGTTATTCTGGTAATTCTGATAATTGTAAACTATCCCATTCATTTAATTATGGATGTTGATAAGATTAATTATAATAAATTTAAGAAGCACAAGTTTAACAACTTTTAGAATATCCTTATCACCAATCTGTTTCCTGTTTTCCAAAACATGAATTACCTTCCTGGTGATTTTAAAGCAATGCTGATACACAATAAAAACTAATAAACAAACAAGTTTAAATTATGAGATTAACTGTTAAATGCTCATAACTAGAGTCATAACTAGTATAATCCCATATGTAGTCGTAGAATCATAGAATTCTTAAGGCTCAAAAAGATCTCTAAGATTATCAAGTCCAACTCTTACAATCATATTTTTGCAATTTTCTAGAAGTTCTTTATCAGTTTAGTTATCATATTTAAATTACTTCTAATAAGCAAAGATATTTAAAGGACCAGCTTCAAGAAGATTGGAATCTATTGGAAAGATCTTAGATTTTCCTCTCTATTTTGCAGGTACTATAGGCATGAAAAAATGTTTAGTTTATCTGTTATAAATTCCCAAAATAATATAAGCAAATTATATATTATACGCAAATTAAGGTTAACAATTAATATTTAATTTAACCTCCTATATAACACTAACTATGTTTTCATCTAGAGTTTTCCTTGATTTGTCAAATAATTTTAGTTTAAACTAAAGCATATCTCTTGGGAAGAAAATCAGTGTCTATTTAAAGCCTTTAACTGATAAAGTATTTATCACAGTCTTTGGTTATCTGTTCAATGGTTAATTGCTCAACCATTTCATTTTAATTTCCAATTCAGTAACTTCAGTTTTCCAGCATGTAATGATGGGCTTTTTTGTACTAAATTAGAGTTTTCTGCTATCACTGTTTGTCTACTTACAAGTAATTACAGAACATGATCTAGTTATTTCTTAATCTTGTCTCTAATAAATTACATTAATTGGGCTCTATGTGGTCACTCAATGTAAAAGTGTAATGAGAAAACTCCTTTAGGAATCTTTCATGGCCAATCCAAGAAATATAACACAATTTGTTTTCACCAATACCGAATGTAAATGAAAGGGTTATATACTCAGATATGAGTCCAAACACCTGTGAGAACCTGTAGTGGATTTTGAGGGTAAAGTGATAAGTGGAAAAAAAAAACCACCAACAAATCCCCCCATATCTAATATTTATTATAGACATAAAAGGAAGGATGAGTGATTCTCATCCTGAAATGAAAACTAAATATTATGAAGGAAACAAACAACTGCTAAAAAGATTTGGATGATAAAAACAATAGGTATGTGAAGTATCTGATAAAAACAATAGGTATATGATGATTCTGACAGAGATATAGGAAGACCACCTGAAGATCTTCAGAATTTTTAAGTGATATTGGAAAAGATTAAGTCCTTCTCAAATATCTCCATCTTCTAAGGTGAAAAAAAAATAAATAATGTGCATCATCTTAGCATATATTAATGGAGTTAATTTATTTTAGAGATTTAAAATATCACTTTTATTTATTCTAAGAGAGGAGGTAAACATGCAATAAAACTATTACTATGATATAGGGTGATATAAAATATTAGCTACCTCATAGAAAAACCCTGTTTTGACACAGTCTATGGTTTCAAAGGTTAAAGAATTTTTTCACATTGGATTTACTCCTTTAAGAACACAACTGGTCTTACCAGAGTTCTAAGATTACTTAAGTGACACACATAGAGGCTGTTTCTTAATAGGAATATATTTTCTATAATTTATTGCTGTTCTGCTTCAGTGGTGCGAGCTATATACCATGTTAACTTTATCCGAAGTTCATTGATGTAGAAGATAAGCCATATTTCAGTTCTGTTACTAACTTTATTTTCTCTCTTGATATTTGCAGGTACTTTTTTTTTTTTCAAAATACATTTAAGAGAAACACCTTTATAAATAAAGAGATTCACCTTTGTCCTAACTACACATTTTTAGATATAAGTGTTCCACCTGTTGATTTTACTCATGTTATATAAAACAAGGGGATTATTGACTGGTATAGCAGTTTTCCTCTGTTGTGTAAATCCTCCTCAGTTCAAAGATTATTGATCTGAAAGACACTAGGAGCCCCCTTGGACCTACTGCAGCCTAATTTGATGCAGTTACCACACAAAAAGTCTGCTTGCTAATAATCTTCAAGATTGGAGGAAAATCCAATCTACTCTGGTTGGAGGAAAAACTTACTGAACTTTGTTAAGTTCCTCTCAATTAAATATCTCTCTTATACACACAAGAATCTATATAACAGAGTGTTTGAATAGTTAGGATTGAGAAAAAGTAGGGAAGAAAGGGAGTTCTAAAAAAACCCTTTTCATATAGATTCAGGGTTGGCTTTTTGGGGAGGTTTGTTTGTTTGGAGTTTTGGGGGTTTTGTTTTTGGGTTTTTTTGCTACAGTCATAAAGCCTTTTAAAGTAATGTCACTTAAAGAGAAGCCATACTATGGAAGCCCATCCAGAAACAAGTCACGTTACGGACTGAGTTAGGCAGTGTAATATCATTCATTACACATGCTTGAAAAGATTCATTCATGCCAGGATTCAAGATGGATTTTTTTGTTTTTCCTCGGGGAACAAAGACTTCCACTTTTCAACTGGTTTTTTTTTTTTTTTTTTCCAACCTGAAATTGGAAGTAATGCTACAAAGGGACCTCAAAACGCAATAGTTATTGCAATTATTGATCTTTGAACTACAAGGAATAGTATTTCAAGGCATGAACTGCATCCTGAAATTTAAATTCCTAGTTTGCTCACAAAATAAGTGTGTTGCTAAATTCTTACTGCAATTACATAAAAGAATGTAGGATTATAATAAATAGCTCGTACAAGTATATGTCATTTAACTTAAGCAGTAATTTTACAACAAAACTCTGTCACCCTTTTGGAAGCAGGACAGATGATTGAAAATCTCAAGCAGATTGACAAAAGTTTCTGATAGACACTGACTGATTCATTGATACAATTGCACCATTCTTTTAATCAGGACCATTTTCATAGATCGTGTCCTAATAAAAATCCACTGATGATTTCATAAACTTGTAACTGTGGACTTCAAATAAGTCTTTTTCTTTTAGTCAGAGATTACCTGTTTTTCTTGCCTCCAAGTCTGGAGACCTTTGCCTGATGTTCTTGACTTTCAATGAGTATCACATTTTTATTCTAGTTTGCTTCTTTCTGTTCAGATATTTTTCCTTCTTTCTCTGAGCAAGTGTTAAAAGCCAAATCATGCACACTCTTCTGGAGCAAACATGATACATATTTTTATGTTACTAAGTAATCAGGAATTAAAAATTAATATTTTTCCCTAGAAAATTTGCTAGATATTTCTATGGTATTCTAATATTTATTTGTATTTTTTATTAATTTTTAATAAGTATTGTGTTAGGAGGATTTTTACTTAAAAAAAGAAAGCTTAACACTTGTATTCTTTAGCTAACATCTAGAAATTCAAGACCTGTTTTCACTTTACTGAAAGCCTACAACGAAGGGGTCTGGCAATGGTTTTTCACTTTGTTTGGGGTATTTGTAATTTAGAGTCTGGCTTAAACAAATGCCTAGGGATGGAGGTTACCAACTGAATACCCCATCTCTTATTCTCTTTTTATTAATAAATCAGTTTTTCTGATCTATTAATCTGATTTTCTGATAAAATCCAGCCTTATGTGAATTTCATTTAACTCCATCAGGTCCTCCTTGAAATTAGTACAGTGGCAATGGAAACAAGTTTTTAGCACCATGTGATTTTCAGTATCCATTAACTCACATTCTCCCCACACGTACAACTTTCATATGTGTGCATATTCTAATTTTATTTCTGTTGAGCTAATATATTTATACTCCTAAATTTAAATAAAATTATACTTGTTCATTTATTTGGGGAAGAGCAGAATATACAAAGTAAATGGGGAGGGCTACATTTAAGAATTTTGGGTCTTGTTTCTTGATTATAGAATGTAGTGAAGGGGCTGTGTTTTATCCAGAGTCCTGCAGAAACTGATCTGAAATGAAAACATGAAACTTGGAAATAGATCCTGTGATCTGAGTCTTACAATCTTTAGACCGTACAATAGTAGAATTACCCCTGAATAATGCCAGGAACACTACACAAAAAGGACACCATCAACCCACTGAACTTGTCAGGAAAAAAATAAGTCCATTAAAAGGCAAACCTCTCTAGTTAAAATAAAAAAGTTTTTTCTTCCAAATTAGAGCTCTTAAAGTAGGCTCAACTTTGCAGCTGAAATGAAATGATTTAATCCTCCACCACATGAAAGGAGAATGTCAGCAATTAAGTCAAACTAGAAAGCTTTGTTAGTGAAGGAATGCTTGGCTGGAGCTTGCCCTCCAAGACTTTACAAGGGAAACAGTAATTTATTTAGGCAATCACTTGACAAAATACAAAAGAAATAAACTGATAATGGATTGGCACTTCAGGGGAACTAAAGGCCTTAATAAAACTGCTCTGGACCACCCTTGTCCTCCTAAATATCAAGCTCTCTGAGATGTAACCTTCCAGTAACCTTGCTGGGATGCATAGCAGTGTGATTCACCAGTGTGATTCTTCTCTTTTCAGGCTCCTGTTCACATGGCCATCAGCAGTGCCAGAATGGCAACTGTTACAGACCAGAACAAAGCTGTGATTTTGAAGACAACTGTGGGGATAATACAGACGAGAGTGAATGTGGAACTTCCTGCACCTTTGAGAATGGCAGATGTGGCTGGAAAAATTCTCTGGCTGACAATTTTAACTGGGTGCTAAGGATCAGCTCGCCTCAAAGTCTTAGACCTTCTAGGGACCACACATTTGGAAATAGAACTGGTATGTTTTCAGTTCACAAATGAGACATAATTGTCTACAAGAAGTGTCTCATACCTCCCTTCTCAGGCATCAGGGGAGTTCTAACATGTCTGATCAGGGTGTCATTTTCAATGTGTGACAATATTAAAGTATTAATTATCATTGTACAACGACTTTAAATTAGGAAAAATCAGTCGTTTCTCATATGAGTCAAAAAAGATAATTTGATACTTGTCTGGAGAGAGACATCTGGTCTGGCTGAAACTTGCAAAGGTGAGTTAGCTCAGCTATGAGGTCCACTGGATCCCATTCCTTCAAAGCTTATTTTCAGGAAGCTTATAGTTACCCATAGTGACTATTCATACTTTAATTTTAGATAATGTTAAATAAATAAATTTAAATAAATGGGCTTCCTTTGTTAGTAGTGGTAGTGCACCTCCTGGTTTGTTTTGGACAAAGCACCCAGTTATCTGTTCTTGTCCTTGCTACAAGCTCTGTGCCTTCATCTTTTGCTTTTGAAGGTCCTACAGCTCAGGTAAAGATGATATCAAAGCTGAGCTCAGAACTGACCTTAAATTGAAATATTTCACAGCAGAACTGCACAAAGGTGTGATAGTAGTTGTTGAGTGTTTACATGAACTGCTGAGGGACAAAACCCAAGGAACTTAAAGATATATAGGGAAAAAAATTAATTAATTTACATTTTTTTAATAAGAAATATTTTTAAAATATTGTCATGAATATGTCACTAAACATGTTAATACTAAACATGTTGACCTCAGGGAAAAAACGAATTTCTCATCCCATAATATTATGGCAAACATCTACAATTGTAGCATAGCCAGAGAAGTGTCAAAGTTACAATAAGCCCATTTTATTTGATGTTTACTGAAGTAATTTTTTTTCTAAGTCATACATAAAATTTATTAGATATGCAATTATAATTTAAGTTTGTTATTTATACTACATTTATGTTTATGTGAACTACACATTTGTTATTTGTACAAAGGAAAGAATGAACTTGAAAGCTTGTAGAATGTATTATGCTTCTGATTAAAAATAAAGATGGAAAACTCAAGGACCATATCAGGATCGGAAAATATTAACGCTAGGCATCTAGTTTTACAATTTCCTCTGACTAAATAATTTATATTTGTAATTGTATAATTTGAAAGTCTAAAACATTTTTTCAGTAACATATATTTTAATTTCAGGACACTTCCTGTATCTTGAGGCCACTGCAGTAGGCCTAATGAATGAAAAAGCCCATGTGAAGAGTTCCGTATGGAAAGAATCAAGTAGGACTTGTGTGATGAGCTTCTGGTACTTCAAGTCATCAAAAGCCATGGGACATATTCAGGTTCTGATTAAGGTAATAAAAAAACCCTTTTATTTTGAATATATTATATCTGCAAGGGTGTATATGCTCCAGCAGAATGTTTCAGCACTTTGACATTTTGTTGTTTGGCTTGTAGGCTGGAAGAGCTCCCACAAGCCTTCTAGTTCAGTGCTGGTTTTTGTTACTCTTGTCTCTTAAAATCTCTCTTAGCATTTCACTTCCAAAAGAAGCTTCTCTTAAAAGCCACAGGAAGTCTTAAAATCTTCTTTCCATTTTCCTTCTTCACATACAGTACCTATCTCTTTGATATTCTCCATGTGAGGCTATTTTCATATTTGGTAGCTATCAGTATACAACCCTATTGTTCTGATGGGATGGCATCCACAAAAAAAAAAAAAAGAATTTGTAACGTGCACAAAATTCAAAAATATGACTGCATTAAATAATTTATCTTTTCATGTAAACAAGTTCAGAATATATAATCAATTTTCTTTAGAAATGGCATTTTCTTCACCAAATGTGAAATTACCAAAAAATTATTTAAAAACCCTATTTAGTTATAAATTCACGGGTGAAAACTGAGACATTCATTAAAAATTGACTGTTCCTTTGTTGCTCATTAAAAAGTATTAACTGCTTGTAAAAGCAGTTTGTAAATCATAATATGATTCTGAGTAGAAATAATCAATGCTCTTTGGATCCAATGACCAAATATAGCACTTCTAGACAGAGTAGAAACCTTTGCAAAAGACAGTGTGTGTATTTGTGCTTATTTGTATCTGCCCAAGGAGTTCTGGCTGTTCCAGTGGTGCAATTTATTTGCCATATGATATTCTACAATATCTCTAATATTGTCCTGGTGAACTGCCTTGAAATATTCGAATGCATATGTTGACTACCTTATCTTTAAATGATAAATTATATTTTTCCTTAAAAATAAACTACTAAAAATTATTTCTCAAATGTGTATATTATAAGAATAATTTAAAAGCCTTGAAGATAAAAGACTTTATTAGGCTTTAGTATCTAAGGATAAAATCTAGGATGTATCTGTCTGAAATATAAAAACAATGAGCCCTTTGACAGGCATTAGGAGATTTTTTTCATGGATTAGTTCAAACACCTACAAATGACAAGCTACTCATCAAGTAACTGTATAGCAATGAGATATATTTACACAGCTCTTTTTCCGAGAAAGGCTCAAATCAGTAAATGAGGCAAGTAGATAAAAGAAAAATAGAAATAATTGCTTAAAAATAACTTTCAATTGTTATTGTATTAAGAAATTAAAACAAAAATAGATCCCATTACTTAAAATGAATAAGGTACAAAAATAAATATTTATCTTAACTCCAAGATCAAATTATATTCTTATTGCATTACTCAACTGTGTTTATTGTAGCACCCAAATATTGTAATTATGAGCAGTTTAAGATTGCATAATTTTAGTTGCAAGCTAACTTGTAAGCTAACTTTAGTGGAAAATAAATATTAGCTGCATCAGGCATGTGTGAGTGGTTTGCAGGTAGTGTTTGTATCCCTGTTGACTGTGTACTGGCATTATCACATTAAGTATTTTGCAGCACAGACAGTTGCCTTAACAGCTTAAAAATAATTCTAATCTCATTTAATTACATGTAGTGAATTTAATAGTACATATGCAAATACTTCTGTTAAACAGGAAACAAAAGAAGTGAAATAAAAGAAAATCAAACAAACCAGACCACTTAAAATTAGTTAAAAAGAGACATTTGTTCTCTGCTGAGATATTGTCTCTGAGGGGTTCAAGTCAAGCAGTTGAAATTCTTAATTATTTTTTTCATCCTCAGGATGGACAAAGGGATTTAATTTTTTTGTTTATTTTAAAAAAAAAATATCCTGAGCAGAGATTTACTAGATAGTTATCCGTATCAATAAGAGTCTATAGAGATTATTTTTTACTCTACCAATATTCAAATATATTACTTTTATGGAATTTTGTATATGACAATCAGTAATATTTCCTTTTTCTAGGTTTTGTAAATATTCTTTAGGTTTTCTCTTTCTTTTATTTTTATTGCAGTGACACATTGCCCTCTTCTTATTTTCAGCAAATTTTATTATCCTAATAAACTTTTCAGACATTAATTTTATGTTATTTTAAACCCTTGTCTCCAGGGAACCTAAAGATATTTTTCAAGGAAGTATGAATAGAAGACATTGGAGACATGACTAATTATTCTTATTCAATTTCTTTTTTTTAATGAAAACAAGAATTCTACCTGGAGATATGAAAAAATATTCTCATTATTGTACCTGGGATTTTTTGCAGATCAGCTTCAGTTTGCCTGTTATGCTGCTTAAAAGGATCCATGAATCAATATTTTAATTAGAGTTTCTACTTAGCAGTGTCTGTACAAATAAAGTCTAATTAAACAGCACATAATCATGGGAAGTCATACTGAAGCTTCTCCTAGTTCAAACTGTAATACCAATATATTTCCCTCCAAATTTGGTATCTCTTGATTTAAAGTAAAGTTAATGTCAATTAAATCATATCTGTAGGTAGTGATTATTTGAAAATGCAATGAAGAGGAGAGAATCTGGAAAGGTAATTACCTTTTCAAGTTTGACAGTTTAGCAAACTGTCTCTAGCTAAAGTCATCCCATCCATTAAAAGTTGAACTGAGAGCGAACACCATACATACAATGGTACAGCAATGAACAATAGGATGAGAAAATAATCTATAGAGGTAGAATGAGGAAGACTTCCTCTTCCTCCTGAAATATCACAGTGGAAGAAAAACAGTAAACAAGAGTAAAAAGCCATTTTTAAAAAATCATAGTTTGTGGTATGCACTGGTGTTGTCTCTTAATATTTGCATTGCTTGTCCACATTCAGGAAGTCTAAGATTATTATACTAATAAAGTAGTATCTCAGATTATGATAGAAACAATAAAACTGGGGGATCATAAAAGGGGTGCTATAGCCAAGCATGAACTTTCTTCTGTTAAGGTTTGCTATTGGAGAAAACCAATTCATTTTCTTAATGAAATTTCTCTGCAACTACTGTTGTTTTGATTTTTTTTTCTGCTGAAATTGTACTACATATTCCCTGGAGAAAACCGTCTGTATATGTGATAATAATCCAATCAAAGTGATGGGCCGTTGAACTAGTTGCAAACATACAGTATTCTTCAACCCCCTTAATATTTATGCAAATGAAAGATATTGACATTTCAGCTATTTACAGAAACTGCGTATCCAGCTCACCATCCATCTAAATTCAAATTACAAAATGTTTAACAGCACTGCAAAAGTTCATCAGGCAAATGGAATATTACCAGAAAAGATCTGGATACAAATAGTCAAAACTTTGCTACTCCAGTGAGATTTTGAGATATTTGGATCTTCTCTGTGGCATTTGTAAGGTAACGCAATCCATTGCAGGAGATATATTGAAGATAAAGTGCAGCATATTCACTATGCCTGTTTTAGTACCTTATCAGCACTCAGTACTGGTTTATTTTATGAGTTAGAAGAAACAGTGCATTTTTAAATGTGCTTATAGAGAGACAAGCAAGAATTATTAGGTGAAAGAAATTATAACGTTTTATTATTCTGATAATCTAAACGTAAGTTTCCTGCTGCTACTTAAGTTGCTTCTATCATAAAAAAAAAGAAGCAAGTCCTAGGTATCACAATGGGAAAGGAGCACCAATCAAAGAACAAAACCACTTGTTGAAGATAATTTTTGTGGTATCAATGTTAATTGCTTTGCATATTTTAATTTAAAAAGATAATTTAGTATTTATTATAGTTGGGGGAGATTCTTTCAAAGATTTGAAACAAATTTCTGAAAAAAATATGCAGATGTATAAAGAAGGTGAAACCTCTCATTAGTAACTACCTCTGCTGACTGTGACAAGGCCAACACCCACAGGATCTCATTAAGAATTTCCAGTGGACCTTACCCATTTGATTAATTCCATCCAGTTACAAATGAGCAAAGACAGAATAATATTCAAGAGGACAGAAAGTCCTGGCCAGCTCATGGCAAGCAAAGCAGGGCCCCATTGATAGAGCTGCAGCAACAAACAAACCTGGCCAAGCGCAACAGGCAGCTGGAGCCAATATCCCACCTCCTCCAGCTGTTCAGGGCTGGTGCAGCACAAATCCTCTTACCTGGCTGCTGCTGCTTCTCAGCAAAAGCTGGAAGCCATCACAGTTGTTCCCTTGATATTGTCATTGGTTTTAACTAACCTAATGGAGGGAGGAGAGGGTTAGTAATGTAGAAATGTGCAGCTCAGCACATGCCACAGCTCAGGTATAGATGACTTAGAGTGGGTTTTGTAATTACCTGGTTATTTTTAGTGGAGCAGCCTACTGCCCTGTGCTGTCAACACGAAAATCTGAATGAGAGGTGCTGCAGATGCCAGCTGATATATTCTGAACATTTGTATTTCTAGGATCAAGTAGTTTAAAATGAAATTTTCACAAATCAATATATATGACCCTACTCCTATAGGAAGTCACTCAGGAATAAAGTTTGAGGAAGGAACTTATTCTGCTTCACAGCTTAAAATAGACTATGTATTTCTACATTGATTTTTCTCACTAACTGCATGAAAAACAAGCAACTCCTCACATTAATGTAGGAGTTAGAGATTGCATTGGGTTCAGGTAGCCTCAAAGCAGATTATCTGACCTCCATGAAACTAGAGGAAAAAACTAAATTTTAAAAGGTTTACTTTAATATTTTACTTAAGAATTCACTGAATGTCAAATAGTGATCCAAAAAATGTAGAATATCTGTAGATTTAATAAACATAGAAATAATATTTATTTCATAAGCAGAATAAAATTATTAAAGAAATTCTTCAAAACTAATGGCAAAGTGTAAATTTTTCTAGTATTTAGTTCCATGTAGAAGCACAGTGGTAATGGCCTTTATTTAATGAGTATCTACAGCTCTCAAAAGGACACAGTTTTAAGGTATTTACTCCCCTTATTGACCTATGAACTGTTATTAAATGTTGCATTTGAGTCAAAG